GACACACACTGCCAGAGCTGGTGGTGGAAGCAGACACACACTGCCAGCATTCAAGCAGCACCTGTAAGTGAAGACATCTTTTGTATGGAAGGACAAAATATACTGGCACATGGTTGGCAGGTCTGTTCCTATGCTGTATTGTTCTTTGTAATATGATCAGCTGCTAACCACTGCAACAATATCTGGAATTAAAATTTGTAAAGAATCAGACATCAGGGGCTGTAATTGTACAGGGAACCTTCTCCTAATGACAATCTCCAATCACAGATAACTACTGTATAGCGTCCTATGCATGCTCATGTTCCAAGTGCAGTTGGGTGCCTGTGTATCCGCCAAGATGCATTATTAAGAAAGCTGCAAAGCTTCACCAGGGCATCGGCTGGAGTCAGGTTCAAAACGAGAAAACGGCAGCAACTAAGAGAGGGTCAGTAACACTGTGGGCTTCACACTCCGGTATGGTAGCTACTTTGAAGAATCGAGTCAGTATTGTCCTGAGATTTACTATTTAAATGGACAAGCACACTACAGGTAGTTAGTAGTTCATAATTTGCAAGCATCCATAGTTTGTATCTGTCACATGCATATTTAGGACTGATAATCAGTATCCTTTTAGTTTTCAAGTGTCTGATTATATAGGTTTCACTATAAATATTTGCGCTTTAGACAAATTAATAGATATTAATTTGTGGTGGTTTTGTGGCTCTGTAGATAGCACTTCCACCTCTGAGCCAAAAGTTCCGGGTTCAAATCCCGCTCCAGGACATGTTGCCATGGAAGAACAGAAAATGTTCAAACATGCTGATAATCCTCTCAACACTTGCCTCATTATTCCCCAAGGGAAAAGAAATGAGTGAAGATATGCAACAAACTAATTTAAGGAAAACGGTCTCAAGACGTCACCAGTTAACCACTTACAAATGAATTCAAACATGTCCTTATCAAATATCAATGCTCCTGACTTCCTTTTAGTGACTATGGAATCTTTACTCTGGTCGTTTAGCTGCTGTCAGAATAAAAATAAATAGCTAAGCTGCTTGAGCAGATTTTATTATGGGACTTTTGCTACAATATGATGTAAGCAGAATAGGTCTTAATTTTTAGAGGATCCCTTTCAGTATAGAGAAGAAAGTCAAGCAGTTCTGCAGTTACCGATTGCTATGCACTGTTGGAATGTACATGATCAGATATTAACTGAGAACGGCCTCCAAGAACTATAGCCTTCAAGATAAAATTGACATCTAGGAGGTATAGCTTAAACACCACATCTTCAATGTGAATCAACAGTTTCTCCCATAACCCAAGTTATTTTTTGTGGTCCATTTATTCAAAATATAAAAATGATTTCAATTAAAAATTTACTGTGAATATTAACTTACTATGAAAAGTACTTTCCCCCTCTCGCCAAACTGCAGTCTCCCATCAGGCTGCTTTATTATTTTCAAATTAGACCTAGAAAGTTAGATGCTTACATTAACCTTTAAATGAATTCTTCCAGAAGACCAGTGTTACTGTTTCCCTATGGTACAATTTTATGGAGTGGATTTACTTCTCACCACTCCTTTCAACTCGCCTCAAAGGCGCTGTCTGGCAAAACAATTGGGTCTGGCTACTCGATCAAGTGGCTAGAAGTGTTAATCAATTTTGCCACTAAAGTCAATTTCCATTAAAAGTAGGCAGTATCTGAGAAGAGAAAATAGCAATTAGTATTGGAGGCGATGACTCATGATGATGTAGTGGGCAGTAGGCTAGGCTCAATGATGTCCAAAGACATTTCCCAGCTCATGCTTCCCACCATCATTAGTTAAGATGTGGGCATATTCACTGATAATTGCAGTGTTAGGTTACGGGCACAACTTCTCAGATACCAAAGCAGTCTGTGTCCATGTGATAAACATCATCCAATATTTAACTAATAAGTGGCAAACAACATTCACACACACAATGCATGATATGATCACGTTCAACAAGACAATGTCTAACCTTTCCCAACCCCTGCTTGGAAATTCATACAGATAGAAACAAAGTTAATCTTTCATTATGACCCAATTTGAATTTGAAATCAGGAAGAGAGAGACCCTGTCTTGGCTGTCACCACAGGGTAGAAGAGATAAAAGATCTCGGTATAAAAATCCACCACTCAAAAATGTGCAAACCTCCAAAACTGAAGCAAGTTAAAGATGAGACCAGCAAAGAGGGTGAGTTACAGATTTCCTCTCATAAGCGACTCAGAGATGACCTGATAAGATACAGCAAATAGACGGCAATAGAAATAGCTCAATATCATCACATTAACCAAGCCAACTCATTAAAAGTGAAAATGAACATATCTGCAGGAAGTGTCACCTGAGCTCCAGGTTTCAGAATCTGAGGGGTGACTGGAGTCACTGCTGTGCACCTGCAAGGTGGAGTCTACCTTGACAGTACATTTGAGGAATGGTCATACTACAGGTTAAAAGGCGCATAAGCAGTGAGGGAAGGAGAGAATACCAGGCAGACTACAAAAACTAGGAAGGCAGGGCAGGAGTCCCCTGCAAATATTTTAGCTTCAGATTCAATAAATTTGCCTGCTGTTCATTGTGTTTTTACAGTTGTACAAAGTAAGCAACAATATATGTTGTCCTATCAATGTACACTAATAGGTTTTAAAGTTGGATTTCACATGGCCCTCAACTTTCTGCTCATCAGCTGTGTTTATTTTTAAA